AAGTCCTAAACGATTTGCTGTGCCATACTTCCTCTTTAATCATCATCAAGGAAATCGTTAAGAAAACTATGGTATATAGTGGAATGGAATATTACAGGATGGTAAAAAGTGACAGCTGTGAAGCAGAAATAAGGGGATATGTGTATGCATTGATGTAGGACAAAATAACCGTGCAGTATGACTAATGATGTAAATGAAATAATCACTAAGAGTCAAACATGATAAGATGAAAAACCAATGGAGTCAGTCAATCAACATTGATTTAGCAGCCCCTACTGTGTGCCGGGGCTGTGCTGGGGATGCAGATAAAGAGTGTACACTGTAACGTGTCCTAGAGACTAGGTAATGCAAAACAGCAGAGAGCTACTAGGAGAGGATGTTTTTGTATGCAGGCATTCATACACACGCATATATATATGTTTTCAGATGTGTGAGGTTCATAGGGTTTGTCTTGAAGCATTTAGACATAACAAGGAGAAAAAAAATTTTAACAGGGCAAAACCAAAATAAATTCCAAACAAGCCATCATTAAGATGCATTTCTTCTGTGTCCCTTTTTAAGGCTGTCTGAAATTTGGACATCTCACTGTGGTGGTGTCCACCTTAAATAAAAACAGGCCACTCAAGGCCACGAAGATCCCTGCTGGTGCGTATGGACTTGGGAAGCCTCATGTTAACGTCATCTCTACGTCACTATGTATTTATTTTGTTAAACATTTCCCAATTACATTTTAATCTGGTGGGCTCCAGGAGTGTTGTGGGTGGTATACAACCTGATGCCCTGTGTTGATAACAAACCCTGTGTTCCTTATTTTTCTTTATTTAAAAAAAACATCATATATATTTATGCTTTATGTGTGTGTATAATGAAACACATATATACTGTTTCTGCCTATGTCACTACCCCTAATTTTTGTTTCACATTTATCATATTTTATGCCACCATAATATTCATTACATTAATGTCACTTTATTTTTAAATTCTCTCTCCTGGATCTATTTTCCAGGTCAGTTGTTTTTCCAATGAGATATTTCACATTGTTTTCTAATTTTTCATTCTTTTGGATTTGTTTTACAGTGTCGTGATTTCTCATAAAGTCACTGTCTTCCAATTGCTCTATCCTAATTTTTAAAGAAGTATTTTCTTCAGTAATCTTTTGGACTTCCTTTTCCATTTGGCCAGTTTTTCTTTTTAGGGCATTTTTCTCCTCATTGGCTTTTTGGACCTCTTTTGCCATTTGGGTTAGGCTGTTGTTTTTAACGTGTTATTTTCTTCAGTTTTTTTTTTGGGTCTCCTTTAGCAAGCTGTTGACTTGTTTTGCATGATTTTCTTGCATCACTCTCATTTCTCTTCCCAGTTTTTTCTCTACTTCCCTTACTTGCTTCTCAAGATCCCTTTTGAGCTCTTCCAAGGCCTGGGACTGATTCATATTTTTCTTGGAGGCTTTGGAGGTAGGATCTCTGACTTTCTTGCCTTCTTCTGTTTGCATATTTTGATCTTCTTTGTCACCAAAGTAAGATAATATAGGCTGACTCTTTTTGCGCTGCTTGCTCATGATCCATTAATGTCACTTTAAACAAATACTTGTGATTGATCCAGAGCCAGAATCCCCATTCCAGGTATTAGGGTTTAGAGCCTTCACAGAATTTGTCTAGCCTCTTCCCCAGAAAACCAAATTCCTCAGCATTAGTAAAATTTCAGACTCAGATTATAAGGGCCCTGGAAGCCAGCTCCTGAATCATTTTATTCAGTATCTGTATCAAAATCTCTACCCCTTACTTGGTAAGTGATCATTCGGCCTTTGCTTTATTACCAAGAACCGAAGCCTGAGGCAAGCCATTTTACTTTTGGATAACTCTAATTGTTAGGACGTTTTCCCTTACCTCAAGTCAAAATTTGCTGCTTTGCAACTTTCAACCCATTGGTCCTGATTCTGCCCTCTCTGGTGCCAAGCATAACAAGCGGCCCTTGTTAGCTCCGTGGTCCTCTAATCACCAAATGATGCATAAAATAGGCAGACAAAGAGCTCTCAAAGAGTGTTAGCTGCTGTCATGGAGAAGGTCCACGTGGAGCACAAATCCAGGGCTGATACCCTAGAATTTGTGTTATCGAGCCCAGGAATGTTGCAGCACCACTCAAGAGTCTGGCTTAACTGCCCGCACCAGATGACCTGATCGATTAACAAACATGGCTCTTGAGTTCTTTCTTGGAGCAAGGCATTTCCTTATTTCATATACCTGCAAGGGAAGGGCCATCCAAACAGACTCGCCATAGGGTTTTAGTGCCTTCTAGAATCCCTTTCCTCAAGTGAGAACAAGGCTGAAGTTATGAACTTCTGAGAAGACAACTCGGTGCAGGGTGGTACAAAGTTACGAGGCAAATGGAGGTATAATTAATCTCTAAAGAAGATAAGCAAAGTAGAGTCATGGAAGCCCAATGGCCTAGTTGGGATTGGGGGGGAAAGAGGGATACTCTGAGAAGAAGCTTACAGACTAACAGATAATAGATGACAACAGATCGAGCAGATGCTTTTTAGTGTTCTGCCCACCGACCGTCAAGTTTCTCGTGGGATAAACAATTTCCCAAAGACCTTCAAGACGGCAATCCCTAACTGGGACCCCTTGCATTACTAATGTCAGGCTCGGAGAATGACCGTAAAATAATCAGGTATTACAGTGCCCGCTTGCAAAACCTGATTAAACAAATCCTGCCCTTAAGTGGCTTACAATTCTTTTAGAAGACACGGCCTGTACACTTCGATGTACGCACAAAACCTATGCAAGGTCAGGATGGGGGAAAGCATTAGCTGCTCTGGGGAATCCAGAATGGATTGTCTGTGAGGAACAGCAAGGCCAGCCTGGCTTGTGGGGTGAAGGTGAGTAATGCCCAACCCTGGGAAAAGCGGGCTGCAGCCCCATTGTGAAGGGCTTTAACCCCCAGGAGCATTAGAGCATCTCCAAGGCAGAAAGCGACTCAAAGCCCGTGGAGTCACCGCTTCTACCCGTGATTGGAGGGGGCAGTAAGACGCCTCAGGAGGTTAGCCAATCAGATGTCTGGATTGCAGTTTGGGGGCGGGGTCCCCTAGAGCGTGATTGGGGCGGAAAAGTCAGGAGAGCCAATGAGAAACGTGATTCCCTCTTCTACCAAGGTAACCGATTGAGAGCACTCTTGACCCATCAGAATCTGGTTCTCTTACAAAATCAGCTGCCAAACGGAGAGAAGAGAGGAAGTGGCCAATCAGGAGTTTGGCCTGACGCGTGGGCGCGCCCCTGCCTCCTCCGCCCCTCCCAAGGGCTTACGCGGACCAATCCGGAAGCGGAATCAGGAAGGGCCCCGCCCCCCCGGTCTGGCTGCCCGCCCTAGGTCCCTCAGGAGCCTGGCGCGGCTGAGCTCGGGGCTCGGCCCACAGTGGAGGGTTGCTGGCGGCTTCGTGCATACGTGGCTCCCTCCGAGGGTCGCCCAAGCTCTTCACAGGCACCCCGGGAGGTAGGTGCTCTGATCGTCTCCGTTTTACACACGGGGAAGCTGAGGCAGGAGGCGGACGAGCCCCCCAGGGTCGTACGGCTAGTTTAGTGGTTGAGGGCGGATTTGAACTCAGGTCAGGCGTCCCAGCCACCTCGCCGCCTAGGGTTGGAAGGGAGTTCAGAGGGCGGTCGGGTCCTTTTCCAGATGAGGAAACTGAGGCTGGCGAGGTTCGTTGATCGGCCCAAGGTCACCTGGGGCATCCCCAGCTGGGTTTCCAAGACAAGCCGCCGGACCTTGTCAGGCAGTGACCCCTCTGGGATCCGGCCGTGGGACCCCGGTCCGGCCGCCCTGAGCGTCCCGGGTAGTCAGGAGAGGAAGGAAAGCGGAGCTGGGGTGGGGGAGGGGAGCCTCAGACTGGAAGGACCCATCCGAGACCCCCCCGGGCCAGCCCCTCCCCCCACCCCCGCACCGGGAGCCCCCAAGTTCATCCGGAATAAGGACAGGGGTAGGAGAGGTGCCCGCCCGTTCCCTGGCCGCCCCCGGAGGACAGGGGACCCGGCCGGGTCATGGACCACCCCCTCGTAGGACGCCTCCCCCACGACGCCCTCCGTGCCCAGCCCAGAGCCGCCTTAGCCCCCTCTGGGCTTTCAAGCTCCGCTTAAGCTCCGGCTGGTCCAAGTGCGGGTCTGGGTCCGGGCCCAGCTCCCCCCTCGTCTCTTTTAAAGTGGCTGCTGAACCGCGTTACCTGGGGTCGGCAAACAGCCTCCTCCGGACCGCGATGTCAGCACAAGGTGCAAAATGTAGACGCAGCTGGAGGACTCTGGAACCTCGGCGCCTCCTGTCTTGGGAAGAGATAAGGGGGAGGCAAAGGGCCTGAGGATTACCGGCCAAAGTCTCCCTGCTGGGGGGGTGCGTGCCAGGAAGGGCCCCGGGCTCCAAGCCTCTGCCGGGGGGGGGGGGGGGGGGGGAGAGTGCCAGCAGGTGTTACCAGGCTGGAAAGGCTTCGGTTCAGGCTTCAGGCCAGGGCTCCAGCCACGGCCTACTTCAACTGAACTCAAGAAACACTTATTAAATGCCTACTGTGTGCAGAGCACTGTGCTCGGGGCCCGGGAAGAGACACAATGTAGCCCAGTCCTTATCTTCAAGGAACTTAAAACGTGGTAGGGAATTTATCTATATGTAAATATATCTATCTCTCTATATACATATATGTATGTATATATAGATATATAGACGTATATATATATTTATATCCTGCTTTCATCAGGAGGTCCCACAATAGGGAAATCATTGATACTTCGTTTTCATAGGATAATACCTGTCAGCAAACGATACAGGAAGGTTTTTGATTTGCTTTGTAGAGAAGGAAGTGGGCAAGACTTTGAAATAAACACCATGACCACCCCATGTGTGTATTTTAGGTCTGCTCCGATAGTTTCCTAGTTGGAACATTGAAGCCAAGATGCAGATGTCACCTCTTCAGTGCTGACACAGACTTTTTCACGAGGTACTGAGCTGCCGTTACTGGAAGCATTCGGACAAAAGCTGGATGACCACCAGCTGGAGATGCTGGAGAAGGAATCCTCCAAGCATCGGATGGACTAGAGTCTCTGAAGGCCCTTCACATCCTCATGATTCTGTGAATCTCATTCAGACATAGTTATAGCTGAAGGACTCTCCAGGAAAAAAATCCATAAGTTAAATTTTCAATTCATATGACTCTGAAAATTGGCCCAGATCACTGCCAGTGGTTAGCTAAATAAATCACTTGATAGAAGGCTAAACTATTTGCCGGATTTGAAAGGCCTTAGCACATTCAAGAGCAAGGAATATTTTATCCCCAACTCCAGCTTCTGTATATCGTCTTGGGACAATATCGACAAGGGAGATTATTTAGCTCATTTCTAATAGAAGAAAACACTTTGGTCAGAAAATAAACCAGGAAACTGTTTTTAGTCGTACCGAAGAAGAAAACTGAATGGATTCACAGTCCTAAACAATGCCTCTGGGCCAGTCTCAGGGGCACGGGAGAAAGAAAGGCCTGGATGTTCCCACATGGTCTCTCTCACACCTGTGACTGAGACCTGAAATTCTATGTGCCAGCCTTCAATCTCTTTTGGTTCATGTTTTTAACTTCTGACAATGGAAATCACCCTGGGAAAGGCCACCCTTTAATCTGATGTTAGTCTTTCATTACTGAGTTACGAGTGAAGGGTCAGATTGTTGGGCATGAGTGAAGGCGAACGTGGTAATCCAAGAGGGCTTGGGATAAAGGGTAGGGTCAAAGAACAAGTGTATCAATTCCCTTCTTTGAGCCTCTTTCTCGTTTGCCTCCTAGACACCATGTCAGGCCCGGAGCACCAGCAATCTCAGACCCTCATCAAGCCAGCCTTGAGTGAGCTCCAAGCCTCCGAATTGGTGGAATCAGTGTTCGGGTTAAAGGTGACCAAGATCCAGCCTCTTCCCAGCTATGATGATCAGAACTTCCTCGTGCACGTCCCGAGGGCCCCTGAAACAAGTGGTGATCCCCTCAAGTACGTTCTCAAAGTGAACAACACTGAATCCAGCAAGAACGCCGACCTGGTTGAGGTGCAGAGCCGCATCATGATGTTTCTGAAGGCAGAAGGCTTTCCCACGGCCACTGTGCATCCCACTAAAGGGGGCAGCCTGACCTCTCTGATGACCATAGGTAAGCCATGGCCAGATCTCCAGAAGCATCTATGGCCCAGCCCCTTGCTGGCCGGAATCACCCATGCAGGTGTGGTGACTGAGAAGGAGCAGTGACCCCAGGAGCCCCACTTTGAGGCTTTTGCTGAGGCCATGATTCAGACGTGGTCAACGCTGGGAATTCTGATGACCAGGAAGTGTCTTGTAGCCAAGGGAGCGGCTGGAAATTTGTTCAGCTGTCTCTCACCTGCCTTCTGTGGATGGAGCACTGTCCTGGGGCAGGGGAAGAGGCCAAGTTTAGATAAGACACAATCCCTGTCCTCAGGGAGCTTGTGGTCTAGCTGGAGGAATAGCAAACACACAGGCACTAGCTGTAAAACCAAGTGATACGTGATACTGCATCCCCAGGCTGTCCTTCCTTACGAGATTCAGGCCCTAAAGTTTCCTGCTGGTCAGCCCTGTAACACGCCACACTGTATTTAATTCTCCAGCCGGCTATATAAAGTGATTGCCTAATGTTGTACTTTTATCATATGAAATCAAACTAAAACCACACTACTCTCTAGTTTTCTCAATCTGGCCATCAGGATTTGTGTTGTTAAAAACAGCCATGCTTTCCCTGAAACACTGGGTGAGCAGTAAGGTCTAGAGTTGGGCCCCCTCACCCCCTCATAAGGACTCGTAAGGCACCTTTGCCTCGTCCTGGTCCCCAGAGGATCGTGGAGGGCAGGGGGAAGGCAGGGATCCCGGGCTGGCTAGGAGCGTGCTCTAGAAGTGGTTGAAGGTGAAGGTGCTGGGAATATTTGCATCGTTAGTTGGCAGTCATAGGGGTGGCTAACACAAGCCTTCCCTCTTAACAGCCCCATGAGTGGGTAGTACAAGGACCAGCATGGCCCCCTGATGGGGTTGGCCAGCCCTTTGTTTGCAGAAGGTACAAAGCTGGACCTGAACCTGTCCTAGGCTCTGACTGTCAGGTTGCTGGGCCCCCCAGGGGTTTTGGGTTCTATGGACTTGGACTTCCTTGTTTTCTAGTTTTTTCTTCACTCATTTTTTTTTGGTTTGTTTTTTCATGTTTTTTTGCTTTTTGGTGAGACAGTCAGGGTTAAATGACTTGCTCAGGGTCACACAGCTAGTAAGCATCAAGTGTCTGAGGCTGGATTCAAATTCAGGTCCTCCAGACTCCAAGGCCAGAGCTCTATCCACTGTGCCACCTAGCTGCCTTTTCACTCATTTTAGAAATCTTTTTTTGGTGATTATTTCCAGGCAGAACAGTCTTTGCCCTAATAAATGATAGTTGGTAACTGTTATAGAATGCTTTACGGTGTGTATGTTGTTCTCCTTGCAGTGGGTCCATGAGGTGGGTGGTGTATTCTCCCTATTTTATAGATGAGGAAACTCAGCATCTCAGACATTTAGTGACTTGCTTGTCCCAGGTCACCCAGGTGACCATAATGGGTCAGGGCTGAGATGTGAGCCTCCTGAAGCCTTGATCATCTGTCTCTCTCCATGCGTAGACAACGGCTCTGACACCACAAGTTACTTGGTGAGGCTGTTCAGTTTCCTGCCAGGAAAACCCATAGCCCAGGTTCCTGTCACTCCGAAGCTCCTATATGAAGTTGGCAAACTGGCAGCCCAGATGGATAGAAGTCTGGAGGTAAGGGCTTCAGCTCCTGGGTGGGCGTTTGTTCTCTGCTAAGTTCAGCCTCACGGCTTTTCATTCATTCACCAGATGATCACTGAGTGCCTGTCATTTGTTAGCTACCTGACGCAGGCCCGCCTCCCGGGACATCCATCAGGCAGGAAGGATATGATGCATAATCGAAACTTATGATGCAAAGTATAAGGTGGAAGGAGAAGTACTGTGTGGGAGCCAATCTGTTCAGCCAGGCAGGCTTGCTGGAGGAGCTGCTGTTATCTGGGTTGGGTCTTGAAGTATCGAGATGAATGGAGGTGGAAGTTGAGAGGAAGCTCCCAAAACCCTGAGCCCAGAGCCTGGAAAACCTAGGGCATAATTGGGTCTGGTCTGGCTGCAGTTGGAGGGTTGATGCTTCTGGAAGCTGTAGAAGGGTAAACTGAGGCTGGATGTAAGAAGGAGGATCTTCGTGACAATGAGAGCTGTCCAGAAGTGCGATGGAGTTCTAGCACTCAGCCTTTGGGTTGGAGGAGGGGGTCCCCGGGGAAACCCAGGGGGACTGGGTGGCTTCTGAGGGCTCTTCCCACTCTGAAATTCTGTGACTTTTAAAAATTTCTGCCGTCGACAAAAACCTTCCCCATCGTGTTAATGACACAAATTGTTTGAGGCCATTTGAAGGCTTTTTCATTTATACCCATTGAATTTCATCCTTTAGATTAGGCCCACATCCTAGCCTGCTGAGCTCTGTATATTATCCAGGGGGTTGTCTCTCCCTCCTATCTTTGTAGCAGTCAGTCAAGCAATACATATTTATTAAGTGCCTCCTGGGTGCTACATGCTGAAGGTGCAAGTGCAATGGACCGAACACTGCCTGCTAACCAGGAGTTTAGAGATTAAGATTTTAGGTCGTCAAAACATTTTAATCATTTATTTATTTATTTATTTATTTATAGGCAATTGGGGTTAGGTGACTTGCCCAGGGTCACACAGCTAGTAAGTGTCAAGTGTTTGCTCTGAGGCTAGATTTGAACTCAGGTCCTCCTGATTTCAGGACCAGTGCTCTATCCACTGCACCACCTAGCTGTCCCTACCAAAACATTTTATGTTCTGCATAAATAGAATAAATATAAACAAACACAAAGTAGTTCAATAAAGGGGAGTTGGGGGAGGAGTAGAAAATTTTTGTGTAGAAGGTGGTCCTTGGGCTGTATCTGGCAGGAGCAGAGGATGCTGCCAGTCTCCAGTTGTATGGGGACCAGAAAGGAGGCCAGTTTGGCTGCATCGCAGAGTCTGAGGGGAACGTGTCCGGGGAAGCCAGAAAGATTGGGCTGCCATCAGTGCCTTTTTCAAAGTCCTTGATAAAAAGGCCCAAGACAAATCCCTGGCTCACTCTAGGAAAACCTCCTTCCAGGTCAACATTGAGCCATGGATCTTGTCTTGGGTCCAGCCATTCAGAGGCTCTGAACTGACCTAATGGAGCCATCGCTTGGCCCACATCCCTACATTTTGCCCGCAAGTATATGAGGAGAGACCTGGTACAAACGGTTTGCTAAAATCTAAGTATATGTGTCTGTAGCGTTCTCTGGATTAACTAGAATTTCCCTGTCAAATGAGATCAGTCTGGTATGACTTGTTCTGATGAAACCATTCTGGCTTTTGGTGATTACGGCTTCCCTTTCTAAATAATTATAACTTAAATTTACAACAAACTGGTGAGGAAGGAAACATACAGATTATCCCAATTTTACAGATGAGGAAACTGAGGCTTTGAGAGATCGACTTACCTAGGACCACATGGGTAGGATGTGTCCAAGATTCCACAGGAAACCAGGTCTGACTTAGAAGGCCATCATCCTACCTGCTGACAACACGCTGCCTCTCAGACCCCCACTTTCGATAACAGACTCAGATTTTGCCAGCACCAGAAGCCAAGCTCACTCATAACTTGTCCAATTCCCTCCTTTCTCTTCCTGCCATTCATCTCCCACTCACCATGGTGGGTCATCTGTCTGTGACCATAGCTCAGCAATCCCATTTCTTTCAGTACAGTAGGATACGCTTTGTCCATGGCTGTTGCTCTGAAGACCTGGGTTCAAATCCTGGTTCTCCTATTTATTTCTCACCACGTACTACCATGCAAACAAATCATTTCACTTCATCCATACAATGAGGAGGTTGTGTTAGATGACCTCTCATTTCCCTTTTGGCTCTAAATCTGATCCTGTAAATTCCCAACTTTCTCCTCATCTCCCCTTTAAAATCCTCCTCTTCCTTCAAGTCCATCTCAAATCATATCTGCTTTTTAAAACCTTCCCTGGCATCCCCCTCAACCAAGACTGATCTCTTCTTCCCTGTAATTTTCCTTGAGTACTTTGGACCTCTTTGATCTCTAGTGAATTCCACTAGACTGCAAGGTGCATGAGGTCAAGGAGTCCTCTCTTTCCCTCTTCATCTCCAGTACCTATACAAGGCCTTCTCATTATTCACCATGTTTGTTTATTCGGTCCTTCCTTAGAAATTCCACCACCCAAAGATAAGCAGCCTGCATCGGGGCGACTTCATCTGGAACCTGAGAAATGTTCCTCTTCTAGAAAAATATGCTTATGCCTTGGGCCAAAGCAAAGATCGAGAGATGGTGGACTGGGTGCTCAAACGCTTCCATGATGAGATTGTGACAAAGTTAAGCCATTTTCGAGAATGTGAGTTTTTCCCACTGTCAGAGACTAGCCCCGAGATTAGTAATGACTGTCATCTCTATCCAGGGCAGTGAGCTGAGATGGGGGAGGAGGTGGTGAGACTGACGAGGCTTTCCCAGATATCTGCCCATTTGCCCAAATTCCCTTGTGGATCTGTGGTCTCATGATTATCATTCCTCCTTCTGCCAGTTCAGACTGCGGCCCCTCCCCCTCCTCTGTAGTGCATTTAGGGACAGAGTGAGAATAACCGTCAGTTCCGCCAGACGTGTGCCCACTCGCTGGCTGATGGCTGGAGATCACACCTTGAGAACCCCAACAGGAAGATGAATACCTGCAGCCTTGTGAAGCCTTAGTGTAGCCCCTGCTCCCTTTCCACCACCCCTGGGGAATTAGAAAGGCTAGCCTCCATCCATGGCTGAGCCTTTATGAATCTCACTTGGCTGGCCCTTCAGCCATGGACACCATTGACACAGGCTTTGCCAGGACCACCCTGGGAGTCTTTCCCACCTGGTAGAACTTGGCAAGGCATATGCTCTGTAGGCATGGCCTTTGAGAACTGAGGGTTGTCCCCATGCCATGATGAGGCACTGAGGCAGGACTTTGAGGGGCAGGTAGAGGGATGCACCCTTCCTTCTTCAGTCCTGCAAAGATTTGCCATTATGTCAGTGTGGAAACACCTCTTCCCAGGCAGATGGAGGCCCCTCAGTAACTGACTGGCTGGTCTTAGAGAAGGGCTTTGGCCAAGAAATTCACCCACCACTCTTCCCCCCCCCCAGCTGATGTACTTATCAGGATTTAGTGAGGATCTCCATTGCTGGCCTCACCCAGACTGTATGCCTGTTGTCCTCGGACCAGCCTGGCCCTACAGCATTACCACCTTTTCAATAACTTCTTATAAAGACATTATATTATTATATGGTAATCATTTTGGGGGAGGAGGACGTGTCTCTTATTCTTTAAATAATGTAGAAGCAAGTAATATGAAGGGCCAGACAGTCAAGTGCTTAGAGTAAATCACAGGAAGGGCCCCTGTGGCAGCCAAGAGCCCCCAGAGCCTCTGGATTTTGTCATCGTATTGTGTCCATAGCACAGAAGTACATAATTGCACAGTGAATCATAGCATTCAGGGTAAATGGGATAAAACAGGGGTTCCCAGCCCATGGCTCTGGGTCTGCCTGATGCCAAAGCCTCCAAGCTCAGCTCTCATTATGGCCTCCTCCCATGAGAGGGTCAGAGGTGCCCTGACTCCCCTACCATCACCACCATTAGTCAGCATTTTGCCTACAAGAAGAATAATGAGATTTGAGGGTGAAATCAAAACTATTCTCTCATCAAGAGAAGCTCTGGGATAAAATCAGTGAATCTCAAATTAATCTTAATTTCCTTTGTGGGTTTTGAATTTCTGTTGAAATATAATTTGTGCTTTATTCAGATATAAACTTTCTGTGATAAAAGTTATTTTTTTTCTCTTTGCTCTTTCAGTGGTCATGCTCAGAACATCCACATTTCTCTAGTTCCCATCTCTTGGCTTCATGAAGGCTGAAAGCAGAGAAATCTGCTTCTGTCCTTTCTGTATTCAGGGCTGTGCTTTTGTGTGAAGTAAAGAGGCATGGTTTGGGTGCCATTTCGTTTTCTGCTGACTTTTCCAATAAATGGTGTGAAGGACCTTAGTGAGAGTGAAAATACAAAACTAGTGATTTGGGGGGCTTAACCCCTTGCCCCATCTCCACTGGTTTCACTGCTCTGCTTTCAGGCATCAATCATGGGGACCTGAATAGCTACAACATCTTGGTGGAGACCAGCAACGAGGCTTCAGGAGACCCAGTGTGTCATGTGTCTGGAGTCTTAGACTTTGAGGACATGAGCCAAGGCTATTACGTGTTCGAGTTAGCCATCACGATCATGTACATGATGATAGAGAGCAAGGATCCCCTTCCTGCGGGCGGCCACGTGCTGGCTGGCTTCGAAAGCGTCATCCCGCTGACAGCTGAAGAAAGGGGGGCCCTCTTTTTGCTGGTGAGCAGTCGGTTTTCTCAGTCACTTGTGATGTCTGCTTATACAAGCCAGCTCTACCCTGAGAACAAAGACTATCTCATGGTCACTGCCAAAACAGGCTGGAAGCACCTGCAGAACCTGCTCAATATGGGTCAGAAGGCCGTGGAGGACATCTGGTTTAAGACCGCCAAGTCCTACTCGGCAGGGACGTTGTAGAGCATATCAGATGAGGTGGCCTATGTTAAGCACTCGAAGGTGCTACTGGAACACCGCTTATTAGCTGTCACTATCGGTGTTCACGCTAAGGGCAGCTCATATTTCTACTATCTTAAGCTTTATAAATTCAGCTGGGAATTATTTGACTGAGCCTGACTTTTCATGTAGTTTCATGACACTATGAGACATGAGTTAATTGAAATGATTAATTTTTGTATTAATAATAATGCCACTGAACACAAGATATCTGTGGGATATCTGTGGAAACCTGCCCCAGGTTTGGTATGAAGGTTTGTACCACTGTTTATGCCATGTCTTCTCAGTAAATATCCCTTTATAGAAACTAATTCATTTTAATTGGTTAAATGACACTGGCTTAATCACTCCTGGTGATTGTCATTGGGGAAAACACACCAGAGTGGGAGCTTAAGCTGACGGTATTGGAGAAGTACCCCAACTCTTTGGGGAGACACAGGCTTGCTTTGGGGTCTCTGCCTCAGCGAGTGGGGGATTGAGATGAAGAGCCTCAGAGCTTCTGAGGGCTGCCCTTGTAAAACCAGCCGGTAGGTGCAATGTTTCCTTACGCAGACCTAGCTTCTGAGAGGCTCCACTCTCCTGACTCTGCTCCCTTCTCTGGCAGCTTCCTTGGGTCCTCCTCCCCTGGTAGGCCTTGGTCTGTGGACTTCTGGTTTTCCTCGCAATCTTGCCTGCTTTCTTGACGATCTCATCCACCCTGATACAGGCTCTATTAGGGCTTTTGTGCCGATGATACTCAGGTCTCCAATCCTGGCCTTTCTTCTAAGCTCCAGTCCCAGAAAATCTGCTGAACAACTTACAGGATCATAGATTAGAACTGGGAGGGCCCCTGAAGGCCATGGAGGGCTGATGTCACCTGGACCTAAGCAGAGCAGTCTTCCAGCTGAATATGTCTCCAAGGTCTCTTAGTACATGGCTCCTTTTATTTCCATGCCTGTGGTACAGAGGAGGGAAGGCCAGGCTTTGACGTTAGAGGGCCTGGATTCAAGCTCTTCCCCTGCTACTTACTACCTGTGTGACTTCAGGCAAATTGGTTCATCCCTTGGTCTCAGTTTCTTCATCTGTAAAATGGCAGGGGGAGAGGTTAGACTAGCCCAAGGTCCTTTCCAGGATCCTTTTGAGAAACTTGTCACCTTATATCTGGACGATGGCAGTGGTTTTTAATTGGTTTCCCCCCAATCCATCCCAACTATGGAAGGCAGCAGCATCTCCTTAAAACACTACTTTGATCAACAGTTCTCTTTCTCAGAAATCTCCATTGGCACCCCACTGCCCACAGAATAAAAGCCTGCCGTTCCAGGTGCTTCACAACTGGATCTCTGATTCTTGCTCATATTTCCCATTTCTCCCTGCGAGAACCCTCCACTTGACCTTGTCAGCCTGTTTCTTCAAAAGATACTTCATTGAGAGATATGAGAAGACACTTCATCTTTAACCATTGCAGAGGTGGGGTGCCAGTGGTGGTAGCAATAGTGTTCTCTGGGTGTGGAACGTAATGTTATGTATAACATCAAATTTTAAAAATATGTTAATAATTAATAATATAATAATTAATGCTATTAACTGCTGGATTTTTCTTTTTAAAAAATCTTTGTTATAAATAATTCTTTGTTATAAATTTCAAAGCACTAAATAAATGCTCTCTATATTAATATTTTTAAAATGATACTTTGTTGATGTGGGCTGTCCCTCCGCTAACGCTGATCACAACCACTCCAAGCCTTAGTAGACAGGACTTTATGAATTTCTGTGACTGAAAAAAAAAATCAGCAACTGACCAGACCATTGGCAAAGACCAGGTTGGTGCTGGAGACTGCAACTATGAAATGTTCAGTGGCAGCCTTTACACCTCCGAAATCCACAAACACTACAAATCAGGGCTTGGTTTATTGTTCCACTGTTATCTAGTCTGAAGAAAGTGATGGAGGAAATGTTAATAATGCTTATCAGACTTAAGTGTGCACATTTTTTAGGGGTGGGGAGCCGGTTGTTAAACATTCACCAGCAAACACTGAGCTGCTCTGACCTGCCCTGCCCAAAATTCCATCTTCTACAGGAAACCTTCCCTAACCTCACTTATCAGACTCTAGTGCCTTCTCTGTTATTTCCTGTTTATCTTGTATATACTTTATTTGTATGTATGTTTGTATGTTGCCTCCCCCATTGGACTGTGAGCTCCCTGCAGGCAGGGAATGGCTTTTGCCTGCTAAGTGCTTTGCACAGTGCCTGGCATGTAGTAGGCACTTCATACATGTTTACTGATTGACTGGCTGATAGTCATTGTATTACAAATATTCCACTGAGAGGCCTAGGCCCACCCCAGTCGTCCCCACCTTGAGTAAGGACCCCCCCAGGCCTTGGGCACGAACTGTTGGCAGAGCCTTTCAAGACCCAGAGTTATATCCATGATGAAGCATCCAGAGGGACATCAGCAGACCATTCAGTACTCCCATACTTCTCCTATCTCCCCCCATCTAGACACCACCCCCTCCAGAACCCAGCTTGAACCCCGCCTCGTGTGTGAAGCCTTCCTGATGGCCCTGGCTGAGGCACTTGTCCACCCTCTGGGCTAGAGTTATGCCACCGCCCAACTCAGCCACTCCTTTGGGACATAGCCAGTGCTGCCTCAGTTAACCTGCCACACCTGTGCCCCCTCCCTCCAGCCAATCTGTAAAGTTCCCTGAGGACAGGGACTGGATCTTAGAACTTTTGGTATCTTCCCATTCTATGCCAGGCATTCAATAAACATTTGATTATATTTTTAAAGCACCCTAAGTTCAGCATATATGGACTGTGACTTTCACTGATTAACAATATCAGTTCTGATAAAAATACAAAGACAAAGCCTTCCTGGCTATCCAGGGTTGCTAAGGGGCCCTTACAGATATGTGCAATTGTATTCCCTGCTTGTTCAATGTTAAGCTTCTTGAGGAGGGAACAGGGTCTATCTCCATCTTTGTATTCCCCCATGCCTTGCACATAGTAGGCGCTTCATACATCTTTGCTGAACATAGCGTTGGAGGATGAAGCGTGATGTTTGGGTGTGACCTCCTGGGATGGGCTGCTTCCACTTGGGCTTGGCCATTTTCCCAAAGCAAGCAGCATGCTTGGCTCTCTTGGTGGAAGGAGGGGAAAAGGAGGTGATTCTGCACAAATGCATCTCCTTAAAGCACAGGGACCCAGAGGGTGGTCCCAATGACCTCTACAGGGCATCCAGAAGACAAGGGTCTTTTCCTACCTGATTCCTGCTAGAGAAGTGTCAGCTAGGTGACCACAAGACATTCTAGACTGAGGAAGCAAACCGAATGAAGCTCAGAGTTTGCAGTGGGAGTGCAGAATTCACTTGTGGAATTAGGATGGTCACAGTTAGGTCCAGAAGTCCAGGCTTGGAGAGGCAAGTGAGGCCAGGGTGTGTGGATTAAGCTGTAGGGACAGCCAATGAAGAAATACAGAGACCAGGAAAAACTGGAACATCTGAAGGGTATACTTTGGTGTTTTTTTTTCTTTTCCCAATTTTATTAATTTATTGATTTATTAACAGTCACTTCCATATGCTTTTGAGTTGAAAATTTTTCTCCCCCTTCCTCCCCCCCACCCTCCCCCAAGACGGCACACAATCTGATATAGGTTTTACATTTACATTCCTGTTAAACATATTTTCACATTAGTGAAGTTGTAAGTAAAAATTAAAACCAATAGGAGGAACCATCAGAAAGATGAAACAAAACTCAACAGAAGGTAAAAATAAGTGATAGCGATTCAACTTCCATAGTTCTTTCTTTGGATGTGGACAGCATTTTCCATCCCGAGGCCTCTAGAGACGTCTTAGATCTTTACAGTGCTGAGAAGGGTTCAGTTTAACAATAACAGTCTTCACCTAAGGTGGCTGTTATTGTGTACAAAGTCTGAAGGGTATACTTTGACAAAACAATGTAACAGCTAGGCAAGAACAGAGATGAGAGAAAACAACAGAAAGAAATAACTGTGGTCAGTATGAGAGCAGAACCAGTGGTTTTCAGTGTAACAGAGTAATCCCCACTAGAAGAGGGGATTTTAAATCAGTGGGGAGGAACACCATGGGGATTCAAGTCAACAGCTTTGGAGAAGTGACACCCCAACATCCTCAGGGGTACTCTGGAACCTTGTGGGAAAGATGTAGCCAGTCTTGGTCTGGGGAGAGCAAGCTCAGGGCCTCACTATGTGCCCAGGCAGGAGTGAGGACAAGCCCCCAATGGTACAATATGTGAGATTCATTCCCCCAGAGAAAAGCTGTTTAAATCTCCCTTTTGGGGTTCTAAGGGCACCCCAAGCGGAAGTAGAGTGGCTTTCTCTAATGCTGTTGCACAAATATGACCACATCACTCCTGTACTCAGTAAACTACAGTGGCTCCCTATTATCTCTGGGCTCAAATAGAAACTGCATGCTATTTAAAGCTCATCACCACTGGGGCCTGATGTACCTACCTAGCCTCACTTGGCTCTGCTCCCCTTCATACATGGTACAGTCCGTGGCCACTGGCCTGTTTACTGCTCCTTACCCACCCAACTATGGTTCAGTTACCATCTACACAGATGATGTCTGCATCTTATGTGTAAGTCCGGTCTCTCTGGAGCTCCAGTCCCCGTAGGCAAGAATAAAATGCTGAAATGCAGCTGGGGAACCATGGGTGTGGAATGGTGCATACAAATCAGATGAGGTCAATTAGTGGGTTTGTTTAACTTTTGAGAGCTCAAGGATTCCAGTTAATATCTATTTATGACTAATATAAAAGCAAAAATTCCCAGTAATAAATGTTGCAGGAATTTTCCTATCAGTTCAGCTAGCTAATGCCAAGTAAGCCAGCCTGAATCAGAGTAGAGGTTTTTATTAGATTCAAAATAGCAGAAATGCCTATTGACTATATGCTATTGGTAGATGGCTCCTATGCCACAGCGGTTGGTGGGGAAGGCATCCTCAATTACACAAGCCATATTTATACACTCTGTGAAACAAAGAGGAAAAGTTGGCTCTTTGCAACAGCTGGCCATACCTTGCTAAGGCTTGTAAATGACGAGCTGGAGGAGATGGATGCGTGGGGAAGGAGCATGCACGCGGCGTGCACTCTGTGTGGGGGCAACGTCCGTGGGTAGGGGGAGCCTTTACCTGCCCATGGACACAAGTTTGTGCAAGCATTTGGCGCTTGCTTAGAAAGGCAGACGTGGGAAAGCGGGCAGGAGGCAGAGTGGGTTTGGACAATTTGAATCAATGAGGCCTCAGTTTCCCCGTCTGTTACCCGCGCTCCGGAGGTCCAAGAGTGCCGCGGGGCAAAGGGAAGAAAAGAAGCCACGTTCGTCGCCAGCCCTCGAGCAGCCCGGCCAGGCCCCGGCCCGGTCCCCACGTGCTTCCCGCGCCCGCCAGGCCCCCGCGTTCTGCGCAGGCGCGGCCCCGCCCCCAACCGGGGCAGTGCGCAGGCGCGGGCGGCCATTTGTGGCAGCGGAGCTCGGCCGGTGACTCGCTGAGACACGACCCGGACCCGGCGGAGCGAGCAGCGGCGCGGCCGGAGAACCCCGACCCCCGGCACCCCCGGAGGTGAGTGCCCGCCGCCCCCAGGGCTGGGCGCGGCCGGACGCGGCCGGACCCTCCCCCGAGCCCCGGCTGCCCGGGCCGGCGCGCGGCGCGATGACGGTGCAGGAGCCGCCGCCCCCGGGCCTGACGAGCGTGTCCCCGGCGGCCTCCGTCCGGCGGCGCTTGGCGGGGGGCGCCGAGGCGGCCGGGCCTCAGTTTCCTCCTCTGCACCGGGTGGTCGGGCGGGAGCCGCGCGCAGGAAGCCCGTGGGGCCGCTCGGGCCGAGGGCGTGGGAGACCCTTGTGTCCCGGGGCCGTGACCCCCAGCTGGCCCGGGGGGAAGCAGCGCAGGCTGATTCCTGGTGACCTCGGGCACCCTCGTTTGCCTCCGAGACTCAGTTTTCTCGTCTGGAAAATGGGGCCGGGGACCCTTGGGCCACCCGGGTGGGCCAGCGCGGAGCACCAGACCCGCTTCTTGTTTACAGACGGCTGGGCTACAATGTATCGCTCCGAGCCTCGCGCCCCCCGTGGCGTCCCACTGACTTCGCGGGGGCTGAAGTTGTAGCTGCCTCACTCTGGTTCCTTACATTCACTTTCACTTTGTTTGCTTTCTGCTTATGCATCTAACAGCTAGGAAGGCTTACACTAGAAGGACCCTAAAAATCCAATCCAACCCTCTCCTGCAGAGGAAACTGAGGCTGAAGTGATTGGCTTGGGGGCTCAGAGCTAGTAAATGTCAGGGTTGAGCCTGGGGTCCGGGGCTAGTTGGTGGGGTGGTGTCCAAGGAGCGGGAGGAGA